GTGCCCCGCAGCAGCCCGCCTCAACCCGCCTCAGCCCGCCACAGCCCGCCTCAGCCCGCCACAGCCCGCCACAGCCCGCCACAGCCCGCCACAGCCCGTTACAGCTCGCTAGCCCGCTCCCAGAGGGGCGCGCAAAGCAGGCAAAGTGACAGACAGGCCGTCCTGACGGATGGACGGCGTGACTGCGCACGCACGCACGCGCGTGACTGGCACGGAAGCAGGAAAAAGCGAGCGTGCCCTGCCACGCCCTGCCACGCCCTGCCACGCCCTGCCACGCCCTGCCACGCCCTGCCACGCCCTGCCACGCCCTGCCACGCCCTGCCACGCCCTGCCACGCCCTGCCACGCCCTTGCCACGCCCTGCCCCCGCCCTGCCGGTGTCGGCCGGGCGGGACAGATCCCACGGGGAGGACGGCAGGACGGCAAGGACGTATGGCCGCGTTTTGCTGACAAAGTAGGCCCCTTTCTGCAGGGGTCGACTTCTTTTCACTGCGTGGCAGTCCAAGCGGGGCAGAGCGGGGCGAGAGGGGCGGGGAAGGACGCACTGCCGCACCAGGCTCGGACTGGCCCCCAAAAGGCCCCGGCAGATAAGACCGCAAAAGGCCCCCGATTATCATTGTTTTTACCCTTCAAGACCAACTTTGTGAGGCTACCGCTCCAACACTAGTTGCGGTCAATAGCCTTCCCGTACAGGACATGAAAGACTAGGTCTTAAGAATTCTAGGGCGTCGAGGGAGGCCTTTTACGGCAACTAGATTGGACACAGTGGCCACCCAAAGTCAGCAAAATCAGCAAATTTCCGATATTCGACTACTTTTTGACCAACTTGGTCGGAAAATCATTGCGGTCAAAGGCAAAATCGTTGTGGTCAACGTCTTCCCTATACAGGGCATGAAAGAGTAGGGTCTTGAGAATACTAGGACGTTGAGGGAGGCCTTTTACGGCAACTAGATTGGACACAGTGGCCACCCAAAGTCAGCAAAATCAGCAAATTTCCGATATTCGACCACTTTTTGACCAACTTGGTCGGAAAATCATTGCGGTCAAAGGCAAAATCGTTGTGGTCAACGTCTTCCCTATTCAGGGCATGAAAGAGTAGGGTCTTGAGAATACTAGGACGTTGAGGGAGGCCTTTTACGGCAACTAGATTGGACACAGTGGCCCCCCAAAGTCAGCAAAATCAGCAAATTTCCGAGATTCGACCACTTTTTGACCAACTTTGGTCCCAAAATCGTTGCGGTCATCGTCTTCCCGATACAGGGCATGAAAGAGTAGGGTATTAAGAATACTAGGACGTCGAAGGAGGCCTTTTACGGCAACTAGATTGGACACAGTGGCCGCTCAAATTCAGCGAAAACGGCTACTTTCGGAGATTCAATCACTTTTTGACCAACTTCGTGACGTTACTGGTCACAAATCCAAAGGCCCCGGCATATTTTTCTGCCTGTCTGCCCTGGCCAGTCCGAGCCTGTGCCGCACAGCGTGGACCGGTAGCCCGATCGGCGGGTGTGTGTGTGTGTGGAGGGGCAATTCGCCTATTCGCCCGACAACTCAAAAGCGACGCCGCTGCGAAGGAACAAAATCGGTTTGGAACTGCCTCCAGTCCAGGATCATTGGGCCGCACTGCTCTGGTTCATCCCGTTGGGCCCTTCTCTCATGGTTGGGCCATGGTTGGGCCCTTGGCGTGCGCAGTGCGCACACGCACGCAGCGCTACGTTCGCGTCGTTCGCGGCGATGCGAGCGCGCTCTGCGCGGCCAGGCGTCGAGGCTGCCCCCGGGCTGCCCCCCGATCCTCAAATTGCACGCTGCCGGCATGATGATGGCCGGCGTGCCTCGCCGTGCGCCACGGCAACAAGAGGCTGCTAACGCGGCCCTCCCCGCCGCGCCGCTGCACTTCATCATCGCCGAGGGCCTCTAGCCCGCGTCAGCGCGCCGCGCCGCCCTGGGCCGCCCTGGGCCGCCCTCTAGGCCCGGGACGCGTGCAATTTACTTGGAGAGCTCGGCGATCATCGCGCTCGGGGGGTGGCTGGTCTGGGCTGGCCTCGGCTGGCGGCGCCTCAGGTGCGCCGGCAAAGAAGAAGAAGAGGAGGGAGTAGGAAGGGGACGCCGTGATGAGTCCCGGCCGTCCCGGCCGCGCCGAGGCCGTGCGTAATAAGCCGGCAACGTTATTTTTCTCGACGAAATCCGGCGGCCTCGGATCGGCCCAGCCATCGGCCTCGGCCGAGCTGGGCCCCTTCATTGAATCGTTTCGGTTCGTTGCGACGCGCCTCGCTGGCCACGGCTAGTCGCCTCGCGGCGGCCCGGAGGCCGGAGGGGCCGTAGGACGCCTCGACGCCGATGGCCCCGCGACGTTAGCGATGCGATTAGCAGACGCCTTCATCAGGCACGCTCGCCGAGGGAATTCGAGCTGCCCGGGAACGCGGTCCTCGAGGACGTCGCCGTCGTTGTCGTTTGTCGTCTTGTTTGTTTGTTTGTTTGTTTGTTTGTTAGTTTGTTCGTTTGATTTTTGTTTGATTTTTGTTCGTTTTCGTTTTTGCGTTTTCGTTTTCGTGTTTTCGTTTTCGTTTCCGCGTTTTCGTTTTTGTTTTCAAGTTTTCGTTTTCGTGCTTTCGTTTTCGCGTTTTCGTTTTCGCGTTTTCGTTTTCGCGTTTTCCTTTTCCTTTTCCTTTTCCTTTTCCTTTTCCTTTTCCTTTTCCTTTTCCTTTTCCTTTTCCTTTTCCTTTTCCTTTTCCTTTCATCATCATTGTCCTCGTTGTCGTCTTCACCGTCGTTGTCTGTGTGTTGCTGTTGTTGTAGCAGCTGTCGTCGCCGCCGTCGTCGCGTCCTCATCGTCGTTGTTTCCGTCGCCGTCTTTGTTGTTGTTTGAAGTTGTTATTGTAACTGTCGTCATCGTTGTTGTTGTTGTTCATCAATTTTTCCTCTGGCAAAACATGTACTAGGCCGGGCGACATGGCCCTCCGAGTGGGAGTGGTGCGGCATCGACTGGCCCTGACATTTCCGCGCGCGCGTCCAGTGGCGTTGCCTGGCGTTGCCTGGCGTTGCCTGGCGTTGCCTGGCGTTGCCTGGCGTTCCTGGCGTTGCCTGGCGTTGCCTGGCGTTGCCTGGCGTTGCCTGGCGTTGCCTGGCGTGACGCCTGGCGTTGCCTGGCGTTGCCTGGCGTTCCTGGCGTTGCCTGGCGTTGCCTGGCGTTGCCTGGCGTTGCCTGGCGTTGCCTGGCGTGACGCCTGGCGTTGCCTGGCGTTGCCTGGCGTTGCCTGGCGTTGCCTGGCGTTGCCTGGCGTTGCCTGGCGTTGCCTGGCGTTGCCTGGCGTTGCCTGGCGTTGCCTGGCGTTGCCTGGCGTTGCCTGGCGTTGCCTGGCGTTGCCTGGCGTTGCCTGGCGTTGCCTGGCGTGACGCCTGGCGTTGCCTGGCGTTGCCTGGCGTTCCTGGCGTTGCCTGGCGTGACGCCTGGCGTTGCCTGGCGTTGCCTGGCGTTGCCTGGCGTTGCCTGGCGTTGCCTGGCGTTGCCTGGCGTTGCCTGGCGTGACGCCTGGCGTTGCCTGGCGTTGCCTGGCGTTCCTGGCGTTGCCTGGCGTGACGCCTGGCGTTGCCTGGCGTTGCCTGGCGTGACGATCAGAACGGATAGAGTCGATGACGCCTGATGCGCCCAAAAGTGTCGCGTCGTATCGCCGGTGCGGCCGATGCGGCGGTACAAGCACCCCCAAAAGTGAGAATAGCGCGATTGGAGAATTAGCGGGTCGTTACACGGAAAAAAAGGATTAGTTGTGACAACTAACATGTTAGTTGAAAAGCGTCCAAAGAAGATTTTAGTTTTCACGACTAAAAGTTTGCTGCTCGAACGAATTTATAAGTTGAAACGACTAAAAAACTACAGTTGGCTCAAGGATAAAGTTGATTATTCCTACACTATGTTAGTTGTGAGGATTAACACGAGCGTCACGGAAGAAAATAAACCACGCACAGAAAAAAGTCTGCGGCGGGAATCGAACTCAGGATCTGTCGTTTGTCAATCAGAGACGCTGCCCACTGCGCTGCGGACATTCTTAGGAGACCCGACTTTCGGGCGATGATTTAATCGTCGCTTGTCCTAGCATCGGTTAGTTTGCTGTATCAGCGTCATTGGGCATTCTCCCGCTATCAGCTCACCACAGCGGAGTGGATAGCCTCAGCAGCTCTCAGATCACAGATTCCGCGATCGATACCCGCTGAAGGTTTTTCTTATACGAAGCTTATTTTCTCTCGTGACGCTCATGTTAGTCATCACAACTAACATATTGTAGGCACAATCAACTTTATCCTTGTACCAACTTTAATTTGTTAGTTGGTCAAACTAGTATTATTGCTCCTGCAGCAAACTTTTAGCCGCAGCAACTAAAATCTTCCTTGGACGCATTCCAACCAACATGTTAGTTGTTACAACTAATCCTTTTTTTCCGTGTAGGCCGAGCGGCGCGACATGACAGCGCGATAGGCACGCCGTTGCCACTCTCATCTCCATTTTCGGCGAGGGCGTGGTCGCACAGTGGGCCAGAAGACCGGTGGAGGCGGCCGAAATTCTAGTCGCGTTTTGAGCTCCGGAGTCGCTAAACAGGACTCGAACCGAGCGTGTGACCCCACCAATGGATTCCTCGTTCGGAGAGCAATCCATTGGTGGGGTCACACGTTCGGTGCGAGTCCCATACAGCGACTCTAGAGCTCAAAACGCGCCTCCACCGGTCTTCTGGCCCACTGTTCGTCACGCCGTCGTCGCCGTGACGCCCCACCCCACGTGGCCTGGCGGTCGGTGCGCTGATTCGATTTGCAGGGCGAGTCAAGCGGGCTGCCGAGCACGCCGTCGAGGCCGTGGTTGCGGCCGGCGGCAGCGGGCGCGGCAGGGGGTGGCGGTACCGGGTGTCTCGGCCTCGTCTCTGTCGCACCCATGGCTCGGTCCGCAGGGGGTGCAAGAGAGACAGAGCGGTGGCCGTCAGTGCACTCACGGCGAGGACTCTACAGTGTACTCACCTTGACGCTGTAGGCCCACAGGGGCGTCTCCCCGCACGCCGAGAAGCCCAGCTCGCCGCCGAACACGTACAGGTGGTCCTTGTGCGCCACGCACGTGTGCTCCTGCAGGTGGCCGTCAGTGCACTCACGGCGAGGACTCTACAGTGTACTCACCTTGACGCTGTAGGCCCACAGGGGCGTCTCCCCGCACGCCGAGAACCCCAGCTCGCCGCCGAACACGTACAGGGGGTCCTTGTGCGCCACGCACGTGTGCTCCTGCAGGTGGCCGTCAGTGCACTCACGGCGAGGACTCTACAGTGTACTCACCTTGACGCTGTAGGCCCACAGGGGCGTCTCCCCGCACGCCGAGAAGCCCAGCTCGCCGCCGAACAGTACAGGTGGTCCTTGTGCGCCACGCACGTGTGCCCCTGCAGGTGGCCGTCAGTGCACTCACGGCGAGGACTCTACAGTGTACTCACCTTGACGCTGTGGGCCCACAGGGGCGTCTCCCCCCCGCCGAGAAGCCCAGCTCGCCGCCGAACACGTACAGGTGGTCCTTGTGCGCCACGCACGTGTGCTCCTGCAGGTGGCCGTCAGTGCACTCACGGCGAGGACTCTACAGTGTACTCACCTTGACGCTGTAGGCCCACAGGGGCGTCTCCCCGCACGCCGAGAAGCCCAGCTCGCCGCCGAACACGTACAGGTGGTCCTTGTGCGCCACGCACGTGTGCTCCTGCAGGTGGCCGTCAGTGCACTCACGGCGAGGACTCTACAGTGTACTCACCTTGACGCTGTAGGCCCACAGGGGCGTCTCCCCGCACGCCGAGAAGCCCAGCTCGCCGCCGAACACGTACAGGTGGTCCTTGTGCGCCACGCACGTGTGCTCCTGCAGGCTGGGCGGCGAGTCCCCCGACGGCTTCAGCTCCTCCCACCGGTTCTCCGCTGCAACACAGTGCACACACGTCTAAAGGCCGGAGAATTAATTCCCGCGAGGCTGCCCGCCCCTTGGCCCGCCCCGTCTCTCTCGCACTCGTCGCGGGCGTCGCGTTTGGGTGCGAGAGAGACAGCGGCGGAATTGCTGCTGCTCGTTTCCGGCAGTGGCTCCACCTTCCCTCCGGCCGGCTCCGGTGGCGGCGACGCCCGCTTGGCTCCGCTTGGCTCCGCTTCGCCCTGCTTCGCCCTGGCCGAGAGTTTGATGGCGACGCTTTACTGCCTCGCCTGCCTCTCGCCTGCCTCGCTTGCCCCGGGCGCCCCGTTTGCGCCGTAAAACGGGCGAATATTGTCGCAACCCGACGCGCGGGTACACACACCCCCACTTGCGGTAAGGGTGGCGCGCGGCGGTGGCGGGTACATACGGCGCGTCTAAAGGGGTAGTCTGCTCTGCGGGGCGGGGCGGGGCGGGGCGGGGCGGGGCGGGGGGGGGCGGGGCGGGGCGGGGCGGGGGGGGGCGGGGCGGGGCGGGGCGGGGCGGGGCGTGCGGTAACGGGTAACGGGAGAGGCCATTACTCAGATAGGAGTCTGAGGCTGAAGCCGAGGCCGAGGCAGGGCAGGCCGGCAGTGCGCTGTGCGGTGTTGGCGGCAGGGGGCTGCTTTCGTGTAATGGCTCTGCCTGGTTGGCTGGCTGGGGGGCTACCGGTCTGTCTGCCTGCCTGCCTGTCTGTCTGTCAGTCTGTCCGGCTGCGGGGGCGCCGTGGCTCTTAGTTGTTGAATTTCGGACGCGCCGCCAACCCCCAACCCTGTCTGGGTCCAGTCAAGGCACGGCCTGTTATTTCATCATTCCTTCCCGTCCGGTCGACTGGCTTCCCACCGACCGGCAATGCCAGTTAGTCCCCCTCCCGCTTCCCCAATTCTTTAAGAGGAGATTTTCAAGTCGGGCTTTATTTCTTTCCTGCCCGCGGAAGGAAGCTTTACCTGCCGGTGGACTCGCGTCCGTGTGGGGCAATCCCCTCCCCCTTTTTCTCTCAGGACAATGGGGCAATCCAATTTGTCGCCGTAATCACTGCGCCCTATTAGGGGTGGGATGGCCCCACCCCGCCCCGCCCCGCCCCGCCCCGCCACACGGACGGGGAGCTTGGGGTGCAGCAGGAAGGGCGCAACGCCCAACTCACAGTGACGTGGCCCTGCCGTGTCGCCCGGATGTTCGGCAATGCTCGGCTGTTGGGGCGGCGTGCAGGGGCACTGCCATGGCACTGCACTGCCTCCAAGTGCCTGCGCCCGTCGCCTTTGGCGCCCTTCTCCGCGGTGCCGCGCCCAGGGGGAGTTCGCGTCGGCCTCTCTCTCGCACCTAAGCGGGACTCCCCATGAGTGCGAGAGAGACCTCCCACTCGGAACGTGCCTGGCTACCCACTACTCCACTTGCCACCCCGCCCCGCCCCGCCCCGCCCCGCCCCGCCCCGCCCCGCCCCGCCCCGCCCCGCGCGTTCCGCTCGCCGGATTCACTTTGCGTCGTCCATCCAATTAGACTGGCCGGAATAAAGAAGCAAAAGCGGCGGCAGCGCGGCCAGGGAGGCCTTTGCCGGTGGAGGCTGGGGTGGGGTGGGGTGGGGTGGGGTGGGGGTGGGGGTGGGGCGGATCGGCGGCAAGGGTTGTCGCTCCGGCGCGCCCCGCGCATGGCTGCGCCGTACACCATTAGCACGGGGCGCCGCTCCTCCGGCCAGGCCCCGGCCGCCAGCAGGACAGAGAGCCCTCCAGCGCACTGACTCCGAGAGTCGTTCTCGTCGCTCTGTCTCCCTCGCACCCATACGGCGCGCTCCATGAGTGCGAGAGAGACAGAGCGACGATAACGACTCTCTCAGTCTACAGCCTCCAGCCAGGCGCCCTTGCCTGGAGGAAGGCGGTCGGGGGGCTTCGGCTGGCGGGATATCAGCCCAAAGCCTATATCTGTCACATCGGGCCGCCCCCGCCGCCCCCGCCGCCACGCGACACTCAGCCTCCCCCTCTCCGATGATCCGTGCCGATCCGCCCCGTCCTCCCCGACGACGTCTTCCCCGCGACCGCGCTTGTGAGGGAATTGTGAAAATAAAGAGGGGAGGCCCGCACCCTCGCCGGCCGCGCGGCAAGCAGAATGGGTCCCGCACCGGTCTCTCTCTCTCTCTCTCTCTCTCTCTCTCTCTCTCTCTCTCTCTCTCTCTCTCTCTCTCTCTCTCTCTCTCTCTCTCTCTCTCTCTCTCTCTCTCTCCCCCTCTCTCTCGCACCCCATGCGAGGCGTACGAGGCGGCCCCCGAGGGCGAGAGAGAGGCCTTCGCTCGGAATCGGTCTGCAGGCGAGCTCCACGAGAGCAGCGGGGAGGAGGGACGCGCCGCTCGCGCAAAACAAGAGCCGTAAGTGGCGTCATCCCCTCGCCCTGGAGGACGCCGCCAGCGCCTGCCGTCCGGGGCCTCGAAGATCGCGCCGCCGCTCGCTCTAGCACGGACTCGAGTATTTCAGCAACAACACTGGTAAAACTTAGGCGTACTATTACGCCCCTCGTGAAGCGTACAGCCAGTACGCCCTTCTTCAAGCGTACAAGAGTTCATGCGCTCCTTTCTTCCTATCTTAATGCATGGGGTAATTGCCTTGAAGCGTAGTTGTACGCTTCAAGAAGGTACAAGAAGGTACAACTACGCTTTAGTTTTACCAGTGCACACGCGCCGCGGGAAACTTTTCATTTATTCGGGACTGTTGCCAGTCGTTGCTCGCGGCGTTCGTTCGCGTTGGCGCCCTTGCGCGGTAGATTGCAATAACACCGCCAAGGCGTCCCGTATCCGCGGAGCCGCGGAGCCCGCCCCCGCGGAGAGAAATCGATGGCACTGTGGATTCGCCTCGCCTCGCCTCGCCTTGCCCAGTTCGGCAGTGTGCCAAACGAGGACGCAGACTCGACGCACTTGTCGCGCCTCCTGCGCCCCGCCGTGCCGCCGCGCCGAAGCTACGCTAGAGCCGAGGGAAGGCCCGTCCCAAAGGCCCGGCCGCTCTGGGGACGCCGGAATCGGCCCCGGGTGCGTCCAACCCCTGCGGGGTAGCGCCACTGCGCTCCAAGACAGTCGATCGCAATACTCGCCCTTCGCGATGTCGAGCCGTCGTGTGGCCGTGTGGGTGGAGCACTCGAGTCGACGTTCGAAGCGATATTGAAAGCGTTGCGCAGTGGGCCAGAAGACCGGTGGGGGCGGCCAAAACTCTAGGCACGTTTTTAGCTCCAGAGTCGCTAAAAGGGACTCGAACGGAACGTGTGACCCCATCAATGGATTCCTCGTTTGGAGAGCTATCCATTGGTGGGGTCACACGTTAAGTTCAAGTCCTGTTTAGTGACTCTGGAGCTAAAAACGCGTGTCGAGTTTAGGCCGCCTCCGCCGGTTTTCTGGCCCACAGTGCGTTGCCTGTACTCTGACCAGAAAACGAAGACCTCAGAGCCTCGAAGTCGAGGGCTACTGCCGCCTTGGCTAAGGCAATTGACCGCGAGAACTCAGAGGTCTTCGTTTTCTGGTAAGAGGGGCAGAGAGCGCCTGGCGTACCTCCCTCTCCCGGATCCGCACCTGTTCACAGTACTCACCCAGATGGTAGCGCCACAGGTCCTTGAGCGGCAGGTTGCCGTTGCGGCCGCCGAACACGTAGAGGCTGCCGCCGACCAGGGTGGCCGAGTGCTTGGTGCGCGAGCACGGCGCCGCCGCATCGCTCCGCTGCGTCACCGACGCCCACATCCTGTACACAGGGAAGCCGTCATACACGCACTCACAGACAGAGTCGCACGCACAGTGAATTTGCCAGAAGACCGGTGGAGGCGGTCAGATTTCCAGACGGGTTTTGAGCTCTAGTCGCTAAATGGGACTGGAACCGGACGTGTGACCCCACCAATGAATTGCTCTCCGAACGAGGAATCCATTGGTGGGGTCACACGTTCGGTTCCAGACCTGTTTAGCGATAGAGCTCAAAACGCGTCTAGAGTTTTGACCGCTGCACCGGTCTTCCGGCAAATCGACTGTGGCACGGAGTTGCACACGGCACGTGGACACGTAGTGCTGGCTATAAACAATCACACTCGGAAAAAGAGTGCCGCGACAAAATGAAGCAATCAAATCCAGGCGCCCCGGCGGCCGTCTCGGTCATTGTCGAGTTAGAGGGGGGATCTTGGGGCCGCGCCGCGCCGCCAGACCGTCA